TAGGAACCTTTTTTTTTTTTTTTAATATACTTACGTGATATTGATATGTATTCGTGACTATTTAGGGAGTTATGGTTGTTTGAGTATTAAATAGAATGTGGATGTTGTCATGACCAGTAGTTCCGGATATCCAAAGAAGTTTTGCTGAGATTTTACGTGTATTCTACATGCTTTGATGTTTCGTATAATTATACTTTATGCGGCTAATTTGTTTGAAAAGATGATACTACTAGTGGAAAGTAATCTTAAATTATTTTTTGGTTATCCAGTACAACGATAAGAGAAGCCTGCATGTCATCAACTGCAAATTTTTCTGTCTCTATTTTGTGGGAAAAGTGCCATTACTTAATAGTTCGTGTCGAGGTTCTTCAATTAATCATTTTCCTTATTTTACGCTTACTCATGTTTATTGGCTCTTTCGAAATACTCTGTATGATATTGATATCCTTACTCTCTTGAAGGAAAATTTTGTGAAGTCTTCCTATGGAGGAACCATGGGGACTCTTTTGCCGTCTACAAGATGTTTGGTATTATCATGATCAAAGAGCAAAAGTTCATATAACAGCTTAATGAACAACTTACAGAGGAACAGTCTTGGAGAGAGGAATGTGGAACAGGTGATGTATATTGCTAAACTTTTCTATTCTTTTCTGCTTAAGAACAGAGCGGATTTTGAAGAAGGGCAAACTCTCACCACCAGTGTAGGAAAGCTAGCTTCTTATTCCGAAATCAAACTAGAAATGTTTGTACCATTTAGTCAATAAAGGAAAAAAGAAATACAAATTCAGGTAATCGAAGTGAGCGAATCCTATTGTTTCACCTAATCAGGCAATAATAGAACCATGACAATAATTACATCAACGCCTATGTTTTTGTTTTTCAGACCTCTACATAATGTTTGTTTATCAAGAAGAAGGATGCCAAAAGAGAGAAGGTTGAGTATCTTACATGCGTTAGTTGTCAGTCTGTCTTTTTTTCCCTTGCAAATTAATATATTAACCAATGGCTTTAAATACCAGCATTAAACCAATACATCCATTATGATTATTAACCATAAATTTTTAAACTAGAAGTCAAACTTGAAATAACATAAAGGATGCTTAGTTCTTTTCCTGGGTGCTGCACCACAGACGCCTATTTAATGTACTGCCTGTTGTTAATTGGTGCTTGCTTTTTTTTTTTTAAAAACCCTTTCGGGAGAACATGTAAAGTGATTATATTTTGTAGAAATCTAGAAAAGTTATTCTCCTTTAAGAAGGATAGAAAAGCTGGCATTGCAGTCACAAGTTAGATCAGTTGGTTGAAGTTCAGTTCCATATACAAAAGTCGGCCTTTTGGGACAAGCAGTTGACATGGGAAGGTCAACGGACATGGGAAGGTCAACGGACGATTGACATGGCAGTATAGTTGTGCACGGCAAGGGCATGTGATAGGGAATGCAGAACATATCCATATTGAAGTCCATTAATTCATATTTTAAAGGAAAAAAAGGCCTACAGCATAGTTGAGCTCGTTTGTCCATTATCAGTGTCATTACAGTGTTAGCAGTCATAGCATGAAGATTTTTAGTTCTTTCTATTGCCATTTTTTAATGGAAATATTCCAAAATTCTAATACCTAGTTATTATTCAGTATGTGTGCTTGCGTTTCGTCCAACATTTGGCCACAGTTAACTTGAGCAAATGCAATTTGTTAGGCTTTTGTTATCTGGGAAAGAAACTAGTACAGATGTAGAGTAAAGAGTAGCCTAAATATGTGGACCGCAAAAGTTCTTTGAAATTTAAACTTCAAAATGTTAAATGTAGAAAGTAGCTTCTGGTGTAGTTGTTTATCACGCTAGTCTCACACACTAGAGGTCCCCAGTTCGAACCTGAGCTCAGACATTATCAAAAAAAATGTAGAAAGTAGGTTCTGCATAATATTATTATTCTCTTACTGAATTGCCACAATCTGGTGCCCCTGATGAAAAGATCAATTTGAGTGCCTCATTTTAGCACATATTTTCTCGGTGTGGAATATCAGATAAAAGGAGCTTATAAATTTGTACTCCAACCTTGTTCTCTCTGTTAAATAGACTTCTTTCCCTGTTCTATTTCAGAATTCCATAAACTAAGATTTGGTCCTTTAAGTTTCCCTTGTTAAAGAGTTGTAAATTTTATAATTCTCTTAAAAACCATACAAATCAATATTATTAATTTGAGGAATGAGGGGGTGTATTTGTTGCTGATAAGGTAAAATTTCTATAATGAGCTGTTTGTTATCTTCAACCTACAGATCCTTGTTTCTGCAACTTGCAGGCCATTACAGCCTTAAAGAGAGGAACATATCTACTGAAGTATGGACGCAGAGGAAAGCCAAAGTTCTGCCCTTTTCGTCTTTCTACTGTATGGGCTTTGCATTAGATTGTGCATTATTTCCCAAATTTGTTGCTATTCTTTTTCTCTAGTTTGCTTCTCCTCATGAGCATACTCTCTGTGAGCATCCATTCATCTTTCAAATCTTTATTTAACAAATCTAAATGCCATATATCAGGCAAGTATAGTTTAGAAATAACTGATTCGTCAAAGTCTCGGCAAGCACTCAAAACTGTGCTATCATAATGTTCAGATTGCTTCGACAAAACATCAAGTTCTGAATTACCTTAATTTAACTTGCTGGAAAGGTCTCTTGCATTCAAGAATGCACAAAAAGAAAATATCGGGTGAGAATAGCTGATAAATTAATGATCAAAAACTAAAACTTTAGGGATCACTTGGCTATCTGAAGAATTGTGTTTTTTTTTGTCTTCGTAAGGGACAAAATTAGAAACATCTTTTATACATGTATATACTTGGAAAGGGGGAAAAAACGAAACAAGTTTGAGAAGCTCAAAAATATTTTGAAACGTGCTTAGAAGGAACAAGTGGAACAAAATAGCACCGGGATTGGAAGGGAAGGTAAGCTAAGAATAGGGAGAAAGGAGAACCAGTAGGGAGCTGAGAGAAGGGTGAGAACTTGAAAAGTGGTAGGAGAGGTATGGTAAGAAAAAGGTAGACCAGTAAGCGGCTAATTGAAAAACTTTCTTAAAATTCCTTTTTCATCTCTTTGTCTGGCCATGAAAGTATTACAAACTGGGATTTCCTTATGTGAAAATGACATACCAACAAAAAGGAAATGCTATGTTCATGCTTGGGTTGGGG